CATATGCCCTGTTAGAATTAAGTCTGGCACGTCCCTCCGCAGGAGTATTCAAAAATAGTATAAACAATAGTCAGGGAGCAATGCTTCGATTTTTTGTTAATGTTGAACATGTTTTGACTACTGTTCAATTTTCCCCAAAAATTCGCCTGTAGGAGGACATGCCCGACCTAATGTTAGAGATGGATGCAGGGGCGATTTTGCTTCCCTGGACGATGGGGTCGTGGTCGGGGTCGGGAGTTTTGGGGCCACGGGTTGCAGGCATCACGTCGTCGGGTGTGTGGCACCCGCTTCCGCATTTCGCCCAGACACGCTGGTCGTTGAAAGTCGGAGGTGAGGGGGTGAGATCGAAGTGGAACGGAGAGCCCCCCTACCGGGAAATCGATTTCGGTTTCGTGTTCGTGCGTGCCGTGCGGGCGAGGCGAAGCTGCGTGGGCGGGCGAGAGAAAGTCTCTTGTGGCTGAGGCGAGGCCGGACCAAATGATTCTCCACCGGGCGGCCGGTGGCGCGCGGTGTCCCGCCGGTGTCCTGCCGGTGTCCCGTGTGGCTGAGGCGCGGCCGGACCAAATGACTCCTTTCCGGGCGGCCGGTGGCCCGCGGTGTCCCGCCGGCGTCCCGCTGGGGCCCGCGGTGTCCCGCCGGTGTTTCGTCGGTGTCCCGTCGGTGTCCCGATGATGATGATGATGATGATGATGATGATGATGATGATGATGATGATGATGATGATGATGATGATGATGATGATGATGATGATGAGATGATGATGATGATGGATGATGATGATGATGATGATGATGATGATGATGATGATGATGATGATGATGATGATGATGATGATGATGATGATGATGATGATGATGATGGTGATGGTGATGGTGATGGTGATGGTGATGGTGATGGTGATGGTGATGGTGATGGTGATGGTGATGGTGATGGTGATGGTGATGGTGATGGTGATGGTGATGGTGTTGATGATGATGATGATGATGATGATGGTGATGGTGATGATGGTGATGATGGTGTCCAGATTATGCTGATGATGGTGATGCTGATTATGATGATGTTGCGAATGATCATGATGATGGTGTCCTGATGATGATGATGATGGTATCCCGATGATGATGGAGATGATGATGGTGAGAGGTGATGACGATGATGATCTCACTATCGATTGTGATATCGATAGTGATATCGATAGTTAGACCGATTGTGAGATCGATAATGAGATCGATAATGAGATCGATAGTGAGATCGATAGTGAGACCGAATGTGAGATCGATTGTGAGATTGATTGTGATATCGATAGTGAGATCGATAGCGAGACCGAACGAGATATCGATAATGACTTCGATAGTGAGTTCGATAGTGAGATCGATAGTCAGATCGATTGCGAGATCGAGTGTGATATCGATAGTAAGATCGATACTGAGACCGAATGTGAGATCGATTGTGGTATCGATAGTGATATCGATAGTTAGACCGATTGTGAGATCGATAATGATATCGATAATGAGATCGATAGTGAGATCGATAGTGAGACCGAATGTGAGATCGATTGTGAGATTGATTGTGATATCGATAGTGAGATCGATAGTGAGACCGAACGAGAGATCGATAATGACTTCGATAGTGAGTTCGATAGTGAGATCGTTTGTGAGATCGATTGTGAGATCGATTGTGATATCGATAGTAAGATCGATACTGAGACCGAATGTGAGATCGATTGTGAGATCGATAGTGAGATCGATAGTGAGATCGATCGAATGTGATCGATAGTGATATCGATAGTGAGATCGATAATGGGACCGAATGTGCGATCGATTGTGAGATCGGAAAGAGCGTGTTCTACCGCTGCTGGCGGAAAACCGGGGGGGGTCACTACCGGTTCGAACCCCTCCCCCCCCCCCCCTCCGGAAAACCGGGGGGGGGTCACTACGGTTCCCCGAACCCCTCCCCCCCACCCCCGTCGAAAACCGGGGGGGTCACTACCGGTTCGAACCCCCCCCCCCCCACCCCCCTCCACCTCGAAAACCTGGGGGGTTACTACCTTTCGACCCCCCCCTTCCCCCCCCCCCCCCCCCCCTCTCGAAAACCCTGTGGGGGTGCGGACAGAGGTGGGGACGGTGTTGGTGGGACAGTGGTGAGGGGATAGCGGGACAGTGGTGGGGACAGTGGGACAGTGGGACAGTGGTGGGGACGGTAGTGGTGGGGACAGTGGTGGGGACAATGGTGGGGACAATGGTGGGAACAGGGGGGGACAGTGGACAGTGGTGGTGACGGTGGTGGTGGGGACAGTGGTGTGGGGACAATGGGAATGAGGTGGAAACAGTGGGACAGTGGAGGGTACAATGGTGGTGGGGACAGTGGTGAAGGCGGTGGCGAGGACGGCGGTGGGACAATGGGACAGAGGTACAGTGGGGACAGTGGTGGGGACAGTGGGGACAGTGGTGGGAACAGTGGGACAGCTCAGTGGGACAGCGGAGGAGTCAGTGGGACAGTGGGGACAGTGGGGATAGTCGGGCAGTGGTTGGGGCCGTGGAGACAGTGGGGAGAGTGGAACCGTGGTGGGAACAGTGGTGGGAACAGTGGGGACAGTGCGACAGTGGTGGGGGCACTGGTGGGGACAGTGGGGGCGGTGGTGGAACCAGTGGGGACAGTGGTGGTGAGGACAGTGGTGCTGGGAACAACAGTGGGGGATGTGATGCGGACGGTGGTGGGGACCGGGAGTCGTTTGCTGGCGGTGCGTGGGGGGAGGGGGGTCGAGCCGGTAGTGACCCTCCTCCGGTTTTCCGGATTCCGGGGGGGCGGGGGGGGCGGGGGGGAGGGTTCGAAGCGTAGTGACCCCGGTTTTCGAGCGGGGATCAGGCGGGAGGGGGGGGGGGGGGGGGGGGGGGGGGGGGGGGGGGGGGGGGGGGGGGGGGGGGGGGGGGGTGTTATATAAATCCATTTTTAGGGGGAAGGGGGGGTTTTGCCGGGGGAGAGGGGGGGGGGGGGGGGGGGGGGGGGGGGAGGGGGTTTCCAGCAAGGGGGGGGGGGGAACTTTCGGAGGGGGGCGGGGGGCGACCACCCCCGGGCTCCGGAGGAAAAGGTGTGCAATTTTCCACAGTGAAGCGGCGGTGGATCACGCTCTCTCTGAGATCGGTTGTGATGTCGATAGTGAGATCGATAGTGAGACCGAATGTGAGATCGATAGTGAGATCGATTGTGAGATCGGTTGTGAGATTGATAGCCATATCGACTGTGAGATCGATAATGAGATCGATAATGAGATCGATAGTGAGATCGATAGTGATATCGATCGAGTGCGACGGTGGGGTTGTTTGTTTTTTTTGGTGGTTTTGTTGTTGGTTTTTTTTTGTTTGTGTGTTTGTGTGTTTTGGTTTGTGTTTTGTGTTTCCTTTTTATTTTTTTGGTTTGGGTTTGGTTGTGGGTTGTGTTTTGTTTCGTTTTGGTTTGTGTCTTTGTTGTTTTTTTTTTTTTGTTTTTGTGTGTGTATTTTTATTTGTTTTTTTTTGTTGTTTTTTGTTTTTTGTGTTTGGTTCTTTTTTTGTGTTTTTTTTTTGTAACGGTGGTTGTGTGGTTGTTGTTTGGTGTATTGTTAGTTTTTTTGTTGTTTTTTGTTTTTTTTTTTGGTGTTCGTTTTTTTTGTTTTTTTTGTTGTTTTTGGTCTTTTGTGTTGGTTGCTTGTTGTGTTTTTTTTTGTGGTTAGGTGTTTGGTTTCCCTCCCCAAAGCCCCCCCCTCACCTCCTTATCACCCGAAGGGTGGTCTATGCGGTAGGTAGTCATTTTTCCGATATCCATGAGGGAACGAGCAATGACATAAAGATAACATCTCGGAGGTCCGCGCGGATTTTTTGGATCCGCGCTGGACCCCCCTCCCAGGAGCGCGGAGCGCGCCAGGTGCGGCGCCGGATCCGCGCGGATCCGAGGAATCCGCGCAGACCTCCGAGTTGTCATGTTTATGTCATTGTTCGTTTCCCTGATCCAGTCCCCAGCCTACTTCAATCGGGGGAGCGTAAGACCCGGGTTTGTTAGAACTCGGGTTCGTCATTGTTTTTTGATGATCGCGCCTCGGATTTTGACGAGGAGGAGTTTCGTGGGATGTCTGCAGCGGGAGGCCTCGTCAAAATGCAGGCTCGGCCTCGTCATTTTTTTGACGACCTCGTCGGGGATTTCCGAGTCCCCTGTACCCGGGTCTTACGTCCCCCTGATTCAAGCGCCTTCCTAGTTCAAGAGTCGAGCTGTTGTCCCAGAGCTCGATTCGCTTCGATTCCTCTTCAGGGGGCGGGCGGAAGTCCGATCTACTTCCAACGCCTTCCTACTTAATGTTTCTACCCACTTCTCCCGACCGACGGGTCTCTTTGAGCCTCCTGGGGCGCTCTAGTCCCCAGTGCTGGATTCTCCTTGTGAATTCTGGTCAAAGCGTGCCCAATTCCGGGAGCAGTTTATTGATGGGCCAGGGCGAGGGATGACCCACACTTTGTCGCGTCGTGACCAAAGTGCATTACGACAGGTTTTCGGCCCCGTCTGGTTCCTGGGCGCGCTTCCCGAACCCCTCAAGACCGCCCCCCCAAACAACTCGGGACGAACACTCGGCCCCGAGACGGGTCGACACCCCCGTCCATCGGCCGTTTTGCTGAGGGCAGATGCAAGGAGGGGGAGGAGGGAGGAGGGAGTGGGAGGAGCGGGAGGAGGAGGAGGAGGAGGAAGAGGAGGAGGAGGAGACGAAGCCTATCCTGGCCAGGCCAGTCTTTGACCCACGACGGCGCACTGGCCCTGCCCAGGATGGGTTCGGCCAAGTTACGAGGTCTGCTCGCGCCACGGATGTGCTCGGCCGAGGCCACGTGCGAATGGCCCGTGCTGGAGCGTAGTAAAGCCCCCAAGCCGGGGACCCCTCTGGAGCCACACCACCATGTCGCGTACCAGGCTGGGATGCCGTATCCCACCCTAGCCCGCAAGTCGCTGCCTTACCACGGCCAAGGTCGGGGTTGTTTCCTCCGGAGGTCGAGAGGGCTGCGCTCTCGGTTGCGCTGCGCGCGCTGCCCGAGCCGAAGCCCAACGAGGAGATGCTGCCGGTGGACCTCAACCGCACGTCCCTCTACTGGGGCCTGCTCACCATCTGGTGGGCTTGTTTTCCATTGCCACCACCAGAAGTAAGAGGGGGAGGCGGTCCTCCTCCTCCTCTTCCTCCTCCTCTTCCTCCTTCCCTCCTCCTCCTCCTCCTCCTCCTCCTTCTCCTCCTCCTCCTCCTCCTCCTCCTCCTCCTCCTCCTCCTCTCCCCTCCTCCTCCTCCTCCTCCCCCCCTCCCTCCTCCTCCTCCTCCTCCTCCTCCCCTCCTCCTCCTCCTCCTCCCCCTCCTCCACCTCCTTCCCCCCTCCAACTTATGGTGGTGGTGGTGGAGAACAGGCCCATCACCATCTGCATCCTGTCTGTGCTGTTCTCCAGCTACCTGTTCAACTGAGCCCCCCAAAATGCGCGGGAGGCGCAGAGGTCGGCGCCAGCGCGAGCCAAGAGGCGGTCGCCTCCACCGAAGAAAAGGATATCCTCCCGTCTCGGTGGCGGTGGTGATCTCTGGGTATCTCTGGTGGCCTGGACAGTTCCACCACCGTCAGCATCGAGGACAATCCCCCCCTCGCCCCCCAGTGGAGGCGGACGCCCGAACTGGCTCTGGTGCGAACCTCTGGGTCTCTGGGAGAGGGGACAGGCTGCAGTTTTTCGCGCCAGTTTTTTAGGATAGCGCCGCGTTGGGTTGGCGGCGCGCCAATGGTGGTGAGGCGTCGGAGGCGGCCTTCGGCCTTCTACGAAAGGAAAGGGGGCCTTCTCGGATATGTCGAGTAGGGGATCGACTACATTTTTTTGCTCAAATTGTTCTTTTGTCGAACCCATGAAAAACATTCAACATGTCACGAACATTACATGTTGAGTATTTGTTCAGTGCTTCGACGAACATATAGTTTTGGATACATCAATTCTGTAGTCGCTCCCCTCACGGGACATGGCAGGAGGCTTCCGAGAGGCCGTCTCGGAGGGCAGGGTGGCCTCCGAGAAGGCTGCCCCCGCCCGCCCCACCCCTCCTGCGCGCCGCCGACTGTATCCGCAGACGGCGGCAGGACACCACCGCCATCCGTGGCCACGGCCATCTCGGGCCCTCGTTTCGGGACGGTCGAGATGGGCACGCACGTGAAGGACGGGTGCAGAGGCCGACAGCACTCCCCTGTCCACTCTGAACAGGACTCGTTGGCGGTGTCGCCGCGGACGCTGTCCACTTGAGGCAGAAGGCCGCCTGCCCAGCAGCGGCCGCAGTTGGTTTTGGACTGCATTTGCTGTTCGGCATCGTACCCATTTTATCCGTACACGTTTCTGGCGCCCAGACCGTCTGGTGTTTGCACATGACTTCCCAGTCTTGACCAGGAGGTCTAGGAGCCGAAGCCTGCGAAAATGAAGGATGAGCCTCTGAAGCACGGGGCCACTGCACTCCTCGGTGGGGGATGTGAGAAGGAGACGGCCTTCTCAGAAGGCGGCGGGGCTTCTCAGAAGCCCTCGCGCCTTCTGGAAGTTTCTTGCGTCTTCGGGGAAGGCTCATAATACTACGGAAGGCCGGGGAACTTCCGAGCCTTCTGAGAAGGCCCGCCCCTTCTCACTTCCCCACCGCGCTCGCCGCCGTGTCCAAGGATACCCTGGTTCGGATGCAACTCCTGGGAGGTCAAGTTCTGACTCTGCCCTGGTCCAGAATCCCGCTGAATCTGGTTTAATCCCGCTGAATCCGGCTTCATCTCGATGAATCAAGCTCAATCCCGCTTAATCCGCGGCCTGATCCGGCGTAGCAGCCCCCCAATAGGGCTCAATCTTTTTGAAGCCTTCCGGCGAAGACCTCCCAGTAGTTGCCTCCTAACCCTGGCATCTAGGCGCGTTCCAGGTGCCGTGCATCTCCGTGCTCCTCCGTTACAGTGGAGGCCCATGCCAAGAAACACCTTGCTTGCCTCCAGAGTGCCCTTGGTTTTTTTGGTTTCGATGGTCTTGCTATGACAGGCGTGAGGTTCCCACACCAAAAATCAATGGACGAGCTTGGGTCTCAGGGTTGGGTTTCTTGTGGAAGGCTTCTCGTAGAAGGGCCCCTCCGGTAGGCGCGTTCCAGGTGCCGTGCACCTCCGCGCTCCACCGTCACGTCCAGTCTGGGCCGTGCGCCCTCCCGGGGGGCCTCCCAAGCTGGCCCAGGCCCCTCGGGCGGCGGTGGTGGCCTGCAGCCGCGCACCGCGGAGTTTATGCGTAGGGCGCCGCGCGGGTGCAGGAGCGTGGCCCGCGGAGTCTGCAAGAGGGTCTCGCATGCGAGGAGGAGGGGGAGGAACGGGATGATGATGATGATGATGATGATGATGATGATGATGATGATGATGATGATGATGATGATGATGATGATGATGATGATAATGATAATGATGATGGTGATGGTGATGATGATGCTGATAATCATGATGATGATGATAATCATGATGATGATGCTGATGCTGATGCTGATGCTGCTGATGCTGATGCTGATGCTGACGCTGATGATGATGATGCTGATGATGATGAGGGTGGTGGTGATGATGATGATGCTGCTGATGATGATGATGATGATGCTGATGCTGCTGATGCTGCTGATGCTGTTGATGATGCTGATGATGCTGATGATGATGATGATGATGGTGATGATGATGATGATGATGGTGGTGGTGGTGATGATGAGCATGCTGATGATGATGGCGAGCATGCTGCTGATGATGATGATGAGCATACTGATGATGATGCTGATGTTAATGATGCTGGTGATGATGATGCTGATGCTGATGCTGATGCTGAGGATGACCATGACGATGCTGATGCTGATGATGATGATGCTGATGGTTATGATGCTGATGACGATGATGCTGATGACGATGTTGATGATGATGATTACGATGATTATGATGATAATGAGGCTGATGGTGCTGATAATAATGATGTTGATGGTGCTGATGATGATGCTGATGCTGCTGATGATGATGCTGATGATGATGCTGATGCTGTGGATGATGATGGTGATGATGATGGTGATGATGCTGGTGGTGATGATGGTGGTGATGGTGATGACGATGAGGATGATGATGGTGATGATTACGATGATGCGGCTGTGGATGATGATGATGCTGATGATGATGATGATGCTGTTGATGCTGATGATGGTATGATGGCGATGCTACTGATGCTGCTGCTGCTGATGATACTGATGCTGGTGGTGATGATAATGATGCTGCTGTTGATGATGGTGGTGATGATGCTGATGAAGATGCTGCTGCTGATGATGATGAGGATGATGCTGCTGATGATGATGCTGATGCTGATGCGGATGCGGATGCGGATGCTGATGCTGAGGATGAGGCCGAGGCTGATGCTGCTGATGATGATGATGATGTGGATGACGATGATCGATGACGACGAGGAGGTGGAGGAGGAGGAGGAGGACGAGGAGGAGGAGGAGGCGGAGGAGAAGAAGAAGGATGAGGGCGGTAGGGGGAGGAAGTGGAAGAAGGAGCGGAAGGATGGGGCTCAAGACGAGGGCGAGGACAGGGAGGACCTAGATGTAGCAGGAGGGGAAGTTGCAACAGGGAGGCATGGGAGGAGGGCTTCAGGAACACGTGAACGGGGTTCTGCTTTTCGTCAAGGACATCTGCGAGGACAACTCTGGCACGGTGTCGGAATCGGCCAGCTCACCCGCGTATGTTCCGTGCCTTGCTCAGGGAAGGTATGCCAAGGCGGGAGGGTGGGGAGTGGGAGGGGGGAGGGGGGAGGTTTCACACAGAGACTGCCTGACGCGAGGTTCTTACATCCAACGAACATTCGCATGCGGATGGGTCTCTGGAGCCGAACCGAGGGGGTGAGGAGGAGCAACAGGATCAGTGGGCAGATGAGGATTGGGAGGCTAGTGATGATGAGGAGGGGCAGCGGGAGGGAGTAGGAGCAGGGGGGGGAGACTGAGGATGATGAGGAGAAGCCAGTGGTGATGTGATAATTATCGGGATAGTCGGGATGACGATGAGGAGCACGAATACAGCGAGTAAAAACAATCACATTAAGTAGGTCGCACGGATAACACTACCCGCAATAAGAACAACACTGGCACTTGTGCCCGTCGGTGGTTGAACGTATGTATTTTTTGATGCCCAAGTCCCAACCTACTTTGGGCGCCTTCCTAGGTGTTCCCTTCGACCTCGTCCTCAGGGGGCGGGCGGAAGCCAAAGCTACTTCAACGCATTCCTACTTCATGTGTCTACGAACTTCCGACCGACATGTACTGATAAGGCAACGGACCATGGTAGCACTACGAATGGTACCCCTATGAAGGCTAGTGGTGCGGGTAATAGTAGCAATACTGCTATGACATAGCTGTATCCTGCATCAGAGCAATCATACTGTGAAGACCAGTGTTCGCAATGCTGGGCGTAGTACTGGGGCCCAGATCTCGAACACCGGCGATGCTGATCTCAGACATCCCAGCGATGCCGATACTGATTGCCGCTTCGCGTTTTCCCGCCAGTCTTCGCCTGCCTCTCTTTTCTTGCTGCCTAGTCGCGGCCATGATAGTGTTCGGACGGCTTTCGACCTGTTTCGCGAGCCCGCAGACCAAAGAGTTTTCCCGCCAGTCCATCCAGCATCGATTCCCAGGCGTGCTGCACTGCTCGGGGGAACAGCCATCGTGGGGTGCGAGGGGGAGGGGAAGGGGGAGGAGGAGGAGGGGAAGGAGGAGGAGGAGGAGGAGGAGGAGGAGCAGGATGAAGACGAGGACGAGGAGGAGGAGGAGGAGGAGGAGGAGGAGGAGGGAGGCAGCCGGCAAAACGACAGTCGATATGTCTGCCTCGGCGTGCCCAGGGGTCGACCGCGAACGCCCTCGCAGACAGCTTGACGTGGCGGCCTCTTGACGGCTTGCCCGGGCCAGCTCGGGGCTCCGTTGGGGCCAGTTTGGAGGCCTTTTGTGCCTCGTTGTTCCCCTTGGGGCTTCTCGGTAAGCCCTCCCAGGAGCCCTCTTTGGGGCCACCTTCGAGGGCATCGATCGGGTAATGGGGGGTCCGCTGTTAGCGCTGCTCCTCCGAAACCCACCCCACACGTCGTGTCCTCGGCAGTCCTGGAGCCATCTTGAACCTCTCCTAGGTCTCTCTTTGGGCCTTCGTGGAGCTTTTGAGGCCTCAAGGTCCCATCAGAAGCGAGACGGCGAGACGTATGGGAGGACCCCCAAGACTGCCAAAACGGCGAGTTCATCCAGGACTCAGAACACGTTCGTTCAAACGTAAGCGTTTCGCCAGGGACATGCTCAAACCATGCCTTCCGACGGGTCTTCGAAACCGTCATGTTATCATGATGACGCTTAGTATGATGATGACGATGCTGGCGATTATGTTGATGCTGATGATGAGGATGGTGGTGATGCTGGTGGTGGTGTTGGTGATGGTGGCGATGCTGACCACGCATCTGATGGTACATGTGAAGGGGAGACGGAGGAGACTGGAGGCGTACAGGGGAGTGAGAAGTAGAAACAGGGACAGACTTGCGAATATTCGGGGAGCACGTGTCCATAGATATCTCCTGTGGACGTTCAGGGAGTTAGCCTACATTACATTTGATCGTACTGTTGCTGCATGTTCTTGAGCAGCTCTTCGCCTCCAAGGGTTTCCCGTTCATGTGGGGAGAGGTCCCGTACACTGTTCATTTCGCCTGAGGCATGTTTATAGCAATTGGATGTTCGCGACATCTTTTTTCTAGGGAGCAGCGTTTCGAGTGAGACATCTTCGACATGCTGGAAATCGTTAGTGTGACACATGTTCGAAAGAAGCGTTTTGCTGCAGACATCCACGACACATATGGTGTTGACAAAGCTGCTGTTACCATCTCTCCTTTTAAAACGTTGCTCTCGCTCGAGATCCTCAGACAAAAAAGGAACGAGAACACGGCAGACCAACATTGCTGTATGTGTTGACGCCGTTTCTAAACGTGCCCATTTCGTTCCAGACATCCTCAGACAATTGATAATACGTCATTATTTCTGAATTGTTCGAAGGTGAAGACGCAAGAGCCCAACGATGACCCCAGGATGGCTCCAGGAGCGCCCTGAAGACTCCCGGCAATGACGATTTCGCTACGGACATCCTCAAGACATTGAAGACACGATAGCCGATAGCACAGTTTAGAACACACATCGTGTCTTGCATCGTTTTGGCATCGCTCTCGAAAAGGCCTCACGACGAATCGAACTAGCCTTCCCCCACAATGGCGATTGCGCTATGGACATTCTCAAACAGTCCATTTGTCTATTATCGTTGTGGCTCCATTGTTAAAGGCATCACGGCGGCCCAGCATCTGAAATCAGGCCCTAAGATAACCCCAGTAATTCCCATTAAGACGAGCGGCTGTTACGAGCTTGCTCAGGACATCCCCACCAAACTACGAATGTACTGGCATCGGCTTATAGATCAACCAGCGTTTCACCCGAGACATGCTCCCCCAATTGGGATGTTGGAGGATCCGCCCCCGCGCAGTAGCACGGCAGACCAGTTGGGCCGTTGGTCCTGCCTTTCGGTAGGCCCGGCAGACCACGGCCGACCATCTGACAGCACGACCGGCCACGGTTGCGCGGCACACAAGTACGGCAGCCCATAGCGGTTTGGCAGACCAACACGGGATGCCACGACGCCGCGGCAGACAAACACGACAGACCAGAGGAGCATGGCAAACCATCGCGGCAGAGGCTGGCAACAGGTGTGTGGACATTTATGCCAAGCTCGGGGCCTCGCTCCATGCCGTCCCGCAGAGGGTGCTGGTGCATTTCAAAGCTTCCGCGCTGGTCGTGGCAGAGCTGGCGCGGGGGATCGCCAAGGTGTCCATCCTGATGCAGCAGGGCGGCGTCGCGACGCGCATGGCTTGCCTGAAGGGCAGGAGAGGAGGCGGTTTGTGGTGACGTTCGACGGCGACCCGAGCTTCCACCCTGCAGAGGCGGCTGCCGCAGGCTCGGCGCCCAAACGTGAGCGTTCCATGGCTTCGGCGGCGACGGCCCCCTACCTGGGTGCGGGGCCGCTCATCGTGCTGGGCCACTGCCTGCGCTATGCTTTGCCGACGGTGCGGACGAGGGGCCCACGGAACGCCTGATCAGCTGCAGCCGCTGCGGTGCCTACGCGGACATCGATGGAGGCACAGGGCCACAGGCTGCATGCAGAGTGCCTGCGATGCCCACCCACAGGGCCCAAGGGCAGGGGCGGTCGAGACCAGTTCAGCCGATGGGATCCTGGGCAGCACCCAGGAGGTCGCAGAGGTAAGAA